ATTTATAGCATTATCAGCAAATGGTACTTTTTTAACAAGTAACCGGACTACTCGTGTCGGATTTATCAGCTGCATGCTAATAATTATCCCTCGGTCACGGTACACCCATGGCCTGTTAGCCTTTATTAGAGAAAAAAAAAAACGTTTTCACGTTTCTGTAACTGGATCTAGATGGAAATAAAATGGTGTCTTTATCTTCCAATGAACACGGCGAGAACTAGAAAAGAAAAATTATTCTTTTACGTATTTCGATTACCAAAATGTAAATTCTCATTGCTCGCGCCATCATAACGTCAACAGCTCGTGATAGTTTTAACGAGTTTACTGAAAGGTTTTTTTTTTTTCTTATATATTTTCAATACCTTTATTTAAATACGTCAACTGCATGAGTCGGACAAAATGACTTCACTCATAGGAGAACATGTTCTGTTGACAAATAGTTTTTGTCGGTTGCCGACCAGCCAGTGAATAACATACCGTAAAGCACTCCTCGGTTGACAAGGCGTTCTCGTCACGTGATCTTAAAATACGTCATGCTGAGTGTTAATACCTCATACGTAGTCATGAAAATAAAGTTCATCGAGCATGCAAACAGTGTGGTTTAAAATATACAAGGTTAGATGAAGATAACGAACTTCATCGTGCGAGAAAGTATTCAGCCGCGTTCTTCCTGTCGTTTGGCGGTTGAAATTGGTCGGTATCCTGTCGGCCGGTAAACCGACAAACAGCCTAGAGTCAAATGATTACAACAATCGACAAGGGATTTAACACTCGTTCTTGCTGTGGGAAAGATCAAGCAATCGAACAGGTTGCGTCTTTGTGAACAGAATAGATATGCTGGGATTATCAGAGGACGATTGTTCCATTCACTCAGGACTGGTAGTGTATTTCACCTTGAAAATTTATTCGTCCTGTTTAGCTGTAAGCATATATTGTAAATGTTTTAAGCGTTTGCATGGCAACAGGTGTTCTTTGGTGTAACGGACCTTAAAATGTAAACGTACATGTAAATCAACGCACGCGACCTTTATTCTATAGCACAAAGCTACTTGTAAAATATTTCAGCTGCCAACAGCTCCTCAAGTTGCAGTCCATGATTGCTGTCGATGGACTTTATATTGCAATTTCTGACGAGAAATCGTCCATTAATTTGAGCCTTTTCCGAACCGGAATTGGATATTATTCCTGTGGGTGTATGACTGTAAGGACCGAATTTACATGCAGACTCTTTGGCGTCTGTTCTGCATTTAATCTCAGCGTCCAACAGTTTTGAGGTTCTTGCACAAACTACTTTCAAAAATGATTTTTTTTTTGTCCAATCCAAAACTACCAAAAATCTTCGGAATGATTCTCTGCGGGATGGGAATAATAATTTAAGATAATTTATGCAGTTAATAGTTATCCAATATTAGAGATTTTGCTCGGTCGTTGCACAACAAATTCACTCAAGTTTGTACGTCCATCATTAGCGACTTACAACGTATTGAAGTCGGCTGTAAAGCTTCCGTCGCGATGTATTTTAACGCATTCGTACAGTAGTTTTATTAATAAGCAGTGTGAATGTTTCGTAAAAGGCTCCCTGTTTCATTGGGCCCTGATTACATTGCTATAAACGGCTCGAAATCATTACTGGCCGTAACAGTGGAAATAAGTATGCTATGCAATATTGTTACTAGTCTTAACATCTGAACTTTTGTTAGCCTGCGTAGCAAGCGTTTCTGTGTGGTTCGGGAGCAAAGCATTACAGCGCGAAAAATGAAGACAAAACACCAAAAATCCCGTTCTTCGGTCTTTCTTTGCTCCCAAACCCCACGAAAATGCTTGCTACACAGGCTGAACCCTTGTCGGACCTTTCAGTCTTCTGTGTGGTCTCGTTAGAAATTGCGTGTATCTACCTTCACTTCCGTTTCTCCCATCTAATTGTTGCTTTGAGGTAAGGGCGCGGTGACACAGCATACTTCCGTTACACTAAATGCTAATTGTGTTGTGACATTATTGTTATTATTCAGGCACCAGCTCTCACGGTCATAGCGAGAAGGCGAAATTCACAGTCACTGGCATATCCTGTGGGATTGAGGAGAAGAAATTCAAGGGCTGCCGGTTTAGGTGAGGCAGTCATCTTTAATATTTTTTCATTCTTTGGTTAAATGAATATCTAGATACATGTTCTCAAGATCAGTTGGAAAACGCACTACCGACCCTGCCGGTCACAGAACTAGACAAAAGATCGGAGATCGTTTTGATTCATTTCAAATTCGGAAGAGAAGGAGGTGTTCGTAAAGTACTCAGCTTACAAGGATTTAAACTCTCTTACTTCAAAGTCATTTTGTCCTCCCTTTCAACTGAGTTCAAGTCAATAAAATGAGCCCTTGAGTAGGACAATAAACAGTAAGTGTAAAGCCGCTGTTGTTTCTCTCCAAGATTTTTTGTTAATGTCCTGTCCCTTAAAATATCACTTTAAAACCCATGAAGAAAACAAAAATCACAATTAAAAAAAAAAACAAAAAGCAAAAAACAGTATTTCTCATGGAATGCAAGAATCCTAAGCATCAATATAACGTAAATATTAACCATCTGGTATCTCCCTCGAATATTGCATGACTAGAACACATGTTATGAATATTTAATTATCACCCGGTTAATACATGGCTATTGGGTGCTTTTATTGTACATTATTGCCCTAGTGGAGGCTATGGCCAAAGATTTACATGTATTTAACTAATTTACAGAAGTTTCAAATAAAAATTATATGACCAAATACACCCTCTGTCTAGCGGTGGGTCTCACAAAAGGTTGAAAAAAGAGATCTTTTCACTGCAAAATTGTCGTGCGTTCATGTTTTTATAATAGAAATTTCTCATGTGAGTGCTTTTATACGCGCCATCGTATCGAATTCAAGTACCATTTTACAAGTATTTTTGGATCAAGTCACCATTCGCTACATATGGGGATTATGATTAAAACAAAGTAGGGCAGCTTTGTCTCGACAGCCGTGTCACGAGGTGCACAAGGTATGGTAGTCATAAATCGACATCCAAACGATATCATATCAATAAAAGCAAGAAAGTCTCGGCACTAAGAAGTCTAAGTGGAAAGTGGAAATCTTAAAAGGATATTTGCTTCTGCTAAATCCAAAATGTTAATTTGAGTAAAGAATGCAATTTTCATTTGCTGGAACGGGCAGATGGAGAGAAGAAAGATTAAGAATTCGCTGGTTTAAATTCGTACGAAACAAATTGTAAAATAAGATTATTAGTATTGAGAGCTTATGAGGAAAAAACGCACGCAACTCAGTTCAGAAGAGAACAAGCACATACCCAACATTCACGAGCACGTGCTGTTTTATTTGTTAGTTTCCTACCTCGCAAACTGCGCATGATCGAGAGAGTGGTGCATAGATGCAAAGGTCAAGCGAACATTTACATTTTGTTGTCTACTGTTGCAGATAATCAGCTCAGAGTACAAGCCAAGGCGAAGCATGAAATGCTAGCCAACCTTGTCCTCCCTGCATTTATCGACGAACCTCCAAGAACAAGAGAGAGACGAATTGAAAGACGAAACACTTTTACATTCCAAGCCCCGAGTATGCGAACCAAGAAAGACGGTATGTATCCATCATGAATTGCAGCATTTTCTGGTTTGCCGAGATACCCTGAGAGAGAAACCCCTGAGTCGCAGGGTCCGCGCATGAGTTTAATGGCTTACGCTTACTGTTGGTCAGTTATAACCTTATGAATCGGTGAGAATTGATTCAAAAGGAAATGACTTAGGTAACCAGTGCACCGTGGCAAAATAGAGGATGTATTGTTGCAAACTAGAGATTAGATAGTAATCGAGATGATAAAGGCAGTACGAGTGATTAAATGTTCAATTAGCAAATAAACGACCTGGACATAGTTTAAGCTTATAAACTAAAGTTGCAGAGAAAGAACAGAATGCGACTTGAATCTACCTCAGTATTTAACGTTTTTTTTTTTTTTTTTTTTTTTTTTTTTTNTTACCATTGCAATTAAAAGTTATTATCGATCATGTATTTTACATTCAGCTTGTTGAGTGTTGACCATGGAAAGATCTTCCCATGACTTAAACCAACACAACGTCATTCTGTGTGCCAAAAGTTATTTTTTGAGTAAAGTGGCAAAAGATTAAAAAAGGCTGGGACATTTAAACGATATTATAACTTGATTGAGTTCTCTGATCCGGCACAGAAAACCATGCAACCAGTCTATACGTTTTGTGATGAGTCAACGTGTCTGTCCTTTTCTTCCGATTCAGAAAAGAGATACCAGGTTGCCAAGGAGATCTTGGAAACAGAAAAGAAATATCTTTCCTGCCTAAGAACCCTTAAAGAGGTGAGATTTGTTCGGTTATACTCAAGGAGACGTAAATCAAAGTGAACGTTAATTGTATTTGTGTCAAGTTTTGCGAGTATTGGATAATTCACATTGCTGTTTATCAGTGTTGCCTATATTGTTGCTTCTGGTAAAAACAAGAAAACAAACTCATTTAATCACATAAATTGAATGTAGAGTTAGTTACACAGGCCAGATGTAGGACAATGCGCATTATATTTCATGTGAGCATTAAGTTTCCTTAAGTGGTATAAACGTTTATTTTCCGGTATACAGTGTATAAAGCCATGGTAATTAACATTCTTAACAGATTTTGCCTTACAGAAACTCTTCAGTAGTTATGTAATACATTAATCATGTCCTTGATCCATTCTATTTTAGGTGTTTGAGGAACCAATGAGAGAAAGCAATTTAATTCCGTCTAAAGAAATTGAGTGAGTGTAATGTCTTTGTATTGGTGTTCAAAAATAATATCAATAATGGCTGTTTTTCCCTAAAAACATATCATGCATGCTAATCTAACTGACCATCCAACATTACGTTATTAACTTGTTATTTTTGGTTTACTTTCTTTAGCTCCTTGCTTCCTTTGCCACTTTCTCTTTTCAAAGTGTTTTTATTTTTTCGACTTTCGAAATAACTCTCACAAAGTTCGGATGTGATAAACACAATTAGCCATTAAATAATCATCCTTCTTTTCCATGTTAAACACTGTTAAACAACCTTATCAGTTGTGAATTAAGTAGCCAGTACGCCAAGAGAGATATCTGCTCAATGACGACGTTCTTTTTTACCATTCCTCTGTTATATTGTCTTCAGTTCAACCACTGTTGCCACGTCATTTAATTCTCCGAATTATTGTCCCTCCTTCTTCTAGCGTGTTGTTTCCAGGGGAGCTGGTTCATATCCTGACAAGTCACACTCATTTCATGAAGGATTTGGAAGAAAGGCTTCAAAACTGGAAGTTACAGGGAATTGTTGGAGATATATTCACTAAACTTAGCGGCTCTTATCACGTAAGCCTCAA